GAAAGTATATGCGAGATAGGATGGCCTGCTGCTGAGTGTTTGAAGCATGTCAAGAGGAGCCCATCGCGGTTTTTATCAGTGTCCTAAGGGTCACATAAGAAAATCGCAGAGGTCACGAGAACATCACCGAATTTTCGGGGATGCGCCGGCATACGTTCTTGCTGGTTTCCGAGTCGGCCGACCAGGTAACGAAAACAGGTGGGTCCTCCACGATCTTCAGCAGGCGGTTATGGACGGCCAGTAGGAAGCACTTTACAGGGCCGCGTAGCTAGGACCTTCTCGCTTATTTATTAATAAGGAGCTCCGCATTAGATGTCACACCAGGCGCACCTCAGGTTCTTGCCTGACAAAAACGCAATTTTAGCACTAGTGTACACTTCCTTCTTTACTATAATAATAGATATTATTTAAGTTGACCCGATTGTGAAAAAACTCGCAACGTTCGGCGGGATTTGAACCCGCATAGTGGAGAAGGCCTTTACGCGAAGCCAATGCTCTCTCAGTTGCGCTACAAACGCCACAGAGGCAGCGGCAGCAGCAAAAGGCGACAACTGTAGTGGGCGCAAGCTAACCAATTATCAGTGATGCAAGTCTGGAGGTGACTGCAGGGCTTTGTACGCCAGCTCAAAATCAATACATCGATTGATTGCGTTCCCGATTGCGTACCCATCCATGCACCAGGCTCCAATCAATCATTGACTTCTTGTGTTTATGGTGTGGGTGACAATCTTGACGGCTGCGAAGTTGAACTCATGGCCCTTTTCGTAAAGGTTGGCCGTAACCTGTGCTACTTCGTCGCCCTGCTCCGCTCCGCCGCACAGCCAGCTTATGTTTGTGTACGCGCGATCCGAGCACGTGTTAAGTTTGATCTGTGTATTTGCAAATACAGCTAAGGCATGGAATGCGGTACACTACGCCGGATCGCTCTTCCATGTTTGGTCGGCCTTTGACTTTCAGCACCCTGCTGCGCATGGTAGCTTTTGGCCGGTGTGCAATTCCAACACCTAGTCCTGCAACGATGCGCTCGGTAACATCTGAGAATTCCCCCATGTATGGCAGAGGATGCTATATATTCACTTATGTTTCCCCTCTGATCTCCTGAGGCCGAACACGTAGGCATCAGTTTACAAACGCCTTCAGATAACCATTGCACATAAAGTGGTCGCGGAGATATGGGGCCTCTCGTTAGTTAGCAACCTGCCAGGCCACGGCTAGTAGCTTGAGGTAGCTTTCATTAGACTCCGATTTCCATCGGTAGACCGAGTTGGCCCATCATCCGTTAGGGCCTTTTGTACATCCTGACTACTCGAACGCTGTTTTCTATATTTGTCGCAAAACAAGTAAGTGCCAGATCAGCCTTAATCCCCCCTGCCTCCACGGCATTAATAGTGTCTTCAAAGGCATTGCCTACTACCCTAAATATACTGAAAAATATACTGAACTAATCCACAATCAATCTAACTAGCAATTTATAGAGCTCCAACAAACTCTCCAGGGTCCCAGACGCGATCGCTATCAGGTTGACGAAACCAGTCCGTACCTGGCATGGCCAACGTTCGCTTAACTGCATGCACTCTTACGTGCTCTGTCTTTCTCTCTCCTCCTTTCCCTGCAACGGCTGCACCAAGCCGTCCACACCGCGTATCCAGCCTTTGCTTCTCGATCACCCCCCCCATTATTCCCACGATTCACTTGTTTGAAAAGATGAACATGTTTCAACTTGCTCCCTGTTCCCATATAAATGTACTGGCTCGATAAGAATTCATGGAAATCTTAAAAGCGCTCGCCAGCTGCACTTCTAAATTCTCTGATGCGAATTTTGGTGACTTAAAGTTAAAGATTAATTGATAAAGGGCAGGCCTTCATTACAAACTCTGTGCTATATACCAGTCTATTACTTGAATTTCACACGAAGCGCATACTTGCCCGACTGTTGGCCCAAGTATCGGCACGGAAGAGAAAGAGAAATCCGGTCGACGACGGGGAAATGTATTTAAGTACCAGCAGTTCCTTCTCATTAAAAAACCAGGTTTATTTATAGCATTCCTTTCACATTGGTTATATTCTGTCCAATTCACTTGACGGGACAGTCCTAGGAGAGCCGAGCAACTAATCAGATCTGACAAAAGTACTGTTGCCATAGTAAAAGTGGGCCGCTGTTGAGTGCAAGTTCAGGACATGCGCACGCATGTGCTTTTCTGTCAGACTGACTCAGCGTGGGAATGGGGGCATTTCGCTCGTTCTGTTGCGACTGAAAACGTTGTTGTACTTTCCGCTTGACTTTTTCCCATCCCTCCTCTAGATGCACGCTTCGGGTGGCGGCTACTGTGACTGCGGTGATGAGGAGGCCTGGACCAGTGGCGCCTGGTGCCGCATTCACGGGGGCGAAGAGGAGACGGAGGCTGAGATGAAAGAACCAACCAGCAGCAGCGGCGATAGCAGCGGCCATAGCGCCTTTCGCAGCGTGGACGACGAACAACGCCAGGAAATGGA